TGCGTCACTCTTTAGTGTCCCCTGGTCTCCCAGCTGTGCGCGTCACTCTTTAGTGTCCCATGATCTCCAGCTTTGTGCGTCACTCTTTAGTGTCCCCTGGTCTCCAGCTGTGTGCGTCACTCATTAGTGTCCCCTGGTCTCCAGCTGTGTGCATCACTCTTTAGTGTCCCCTGGTCTCCAGTTGTGTGCGTCACTCTTTTAGTGTCCCCTGGTCTTCAGCTGTGTGCGTCACTCTTTAGTGTCTATTGGTCTCCAGCTGTGTGCGTCACTCTTTAGTGTCCCCTGGTCTCCCAGCTGTGTGCGTCACTCTTTAGTGTTCCCCTGGTCTCCCAGCTGTGTGCGTCACTCTTTAGTGTCCCCTGGTCTCCCAGCTGTGTGCGTCACTCTTTAGTGTCCCCTGGTCTCCCAGCTGTGTGCATCACTCTTTAGTGTCCCCTAGTCTCCCCGCTGTGTGCGTCACTCTTTAGTGTCCCCTGGTCTCCCCGCTGTGTGCGTCACTCTTTAGTGTCCCCTGGTCTCCCAGCTGTGTGTGTCACTCTTTAGTGTCCCCTGGTCTCCCAGCTGTGTGTGTCACTCTTTAGTGTCCCCTGGTCTCCCAGCTGTGTGAGTCACTCTTTAGTGTCCCCTGGTCTCCCAGCTGTGTGCGTCACTCTTTAGTGTCCCCTGGTCTCCCAGCTGTGTGAGTCACTCTTTAGTGTCCCCTTGTCTCCCAGCTGTGTGCGTCACTCTTTAGTGTCCCCTGGTCTCCCAGCTGTGTGCGTCACTCTTTAGTGTTCCCTGGTCTCCCAGCTGTGTGCGTCACTCTTTAGTGTCCCCTGGTCTCCCAGCTGTGTGCGTCACTCTTTAGTGTCCCCTGGTCTCCCAGCTGTGTGCATCACTCTTTAGTGTCCCCTGGTCTCCCCGCTGTGTGTGTCACTCTTTAGTGTCCCCTGGTCTCCCCGCTGTGTGCGTCACTCTTTAGTGTCCCCTGGTCTCCCAGCTGTGTGCGTCACTCTTTAGTGTCCCCTGGTCTCCCAGCTGTGTGAGTCACTCTTTAGTGTCCCCTGGTCTCCCAGCTGTGTGCGTCACTCTTTAGTGTCCCCTGGTCTCCCAGCTGTGTGCGTCACTCTTTAGTGTCCCCTGGTCTCCCCGCTGTGTGCATCACTCTTTAGTGTCCCCTGGTCTCCAGCAGTGTGCGTCACTCTTTAGTGTCCCATGGTCTCCCAGCTGTGTGCGTCACTCTTTAGTGTCCCCTGGTCTCCCAGCTGTGTGAGTCACTCTTTAGTGTCCCCTGGTCTCCCAGCTGTGTGAGTCACTCTTTAGTGTCCCCTGGTCTCCCAGCTGTGTCCGTCACTCTTTAGTGTCCCCTGGTCTCCCAGCTGTGTGCCTCACTCTTTAGTGTCCCATGATCTCCCAGCTGTGTGCATCACTCTTTAGTGTCCCCTGGTCTCCAGCTGTGTGCATCACTCTTTAGTGTCCCCTGGTCTCCCAGCTGTGTGCATCACTCTTTAGTGCCTCCTGGTCTCCAGCTGTGTGCGTCACTCTTTAGTGTCCCCTGGTCTCCCAGCTGTGTGAGTCACTCTTTACTGTCCCCTGGTCTCCAGCTGTGTGCGTCACTCTTTTAGTGTCCCCTGGTCTCCCAGCTGTGTGAGTCACTCTTTAGTGTCCCCTGGTCTCCCAGCTGTGTGCGTCACTCTTTAGTGTCCCATGATCTCCCAGCTGTGTGCATCACTCTTTAGTGTCCCCTGGTCTCCAGCTGTGTGCATCACTCTTTAGTGTCCCCTGGTCTCCAGCTGTGTGCATCACTCTTTAGTGTCCCCTGGTCTCCCAGCTGTGTGCGTCACTCTTTAGTGTCCCCTGGTCTCCCAGCTGTGTGCGTCACTCTTTATTATCCCCTGGTCTCCCAGCTGTGTGCGTCACTCTTTAGTGTCCCCTGGTCTCCCAGCTGTGTGCGTCACTCTTTAGTGTCCCCTGGTCTCCAGCTGTGTGCGTCACTCTTTAGTGTCCCCTGGTCTCCCAGCTGTGTGCGTCACTCTTTAGTGTCCCCTGGTCTCCCAGCTGTGTGCGTCACTCTTTAGTGTCCCCTGGTCTCCCAGCTGTGTGCGTCACTCTTTAGTGTCCCCTGGTCTCCAGCTGTGTGCGTCACTCTTTATTATCCCAATAATAGACTAACCTACTAAAGAGCTACAAACATAGGATATTGAGATCATAAGGGTGGAAAGTTTTTGCATTTTATTAAATTAAAATGCAGTGTTGTAGAGAGTGAGTACAATATGTTCTAAATCTGTTTTCAAATGTCCAGGACTTACATTTCTCTTGGTAGGGAGTCCCACTGTGTTTATGTTATCCCCTGCTCAGCCGTGAAAGCTTTATCAGCTCGGTGTTCCTGTCGTCGTCTGCTGTCGTCTGGTGACTCAGCATTTCTCAGGGAACTGTTGATTCGCAGGTTCACCAGCTGGAGGTGGACGGAGATCATTTACTCAAAGACGGCTGATGAGTCTGAGTCACATTGGTGTTTTGTAATTCCTCCTTTACATGACTCTGATTTAGTTCATTATACCTGAAGCTATTTTGCATTCAGTTGTTCCTAATTATCATCGTTTAACACTTGTGGGTAGTGTCATGAACAATAATGAGCACATTCGTTTTTTTTAAACACTTAAAGTGGCTGAATAATTAGCTCCGCCAACCAGGTTATATTTGGCTCATTTATTTGTCCGTCATTTCAGTACAGAAACATCCACCCTGGTGTCCATGAGATCTACATCTAGCTTAGTGAACCCGGAACTGTTTAGTTCCACCTGGAGTAAATCCACCAGCTACCCTGCAGTATACAAAGCCATTCAAACTAGCTGCACCTTCACCAGCTTTGAGAACACTTTCATGATCAATCATCATAAAACATATATATATATATTATTCTGAAATGGACCAATCTGCACAACGACTACTTTTACTGTCTTTCACTATATTTTGATGAGAATACTTTTCTACTTTCACTTGAGGAACATTTTGAATGCAGGACTTTTACTGTAAGAGAGTATTCCTACACTCTGGTACTTCTACTTTTACTCAAGTACAAGATCTGAGTACTTCTACTTTTACTCAAGTACAAGACCTGAATACTTCTACTTTTACTCAAGGACAAGACCTGAGTACTTCTACTTTTACTCAAGTGCAAGATCTGAGTACTTCTACTTTTACTCAAGTACAAGATCTGAGTACTTCTACTTTTACTCAAGAACAAGATCTGAGTACTTCTACTTTTACTCAATTACAAGATCTGAGTACTTCTACTTTTACTCAAGAACAAGATCTGAGTACTTCTACTTTTACTCAAGTACAAGATCTGAGTACTTCTACTTTAACTCAATTACAAGATCTGAGTACTTCTACTTTTACTCAAGAACAAGATCTGAGTACTTCTACTCAAGTACAAGATCTGAGTACTTCTACTTTTACTCAAGTACAAGATCTGAGTACTTCTACTTTAACTCAATTACAAGATCTGAGTACTTCTACTTTTACTCAAGAACAAGATCTGAGTACTTCTACTTTTACTCAAGTACAACTTAGTGAACCCGGAACTGTTTAGTTCCACCTGGAGTAAATCCACCAGCTACCCTGCAGTATACAAAGCCATTCAAACTAGCTGCACCTTTACCAGCTTTGAGAACACTTTCATGATCAATCATCATAAAACATATATATATATATTATTCTGAAATGGACCAATCTGCACAACGACTACTTTTACTGTCTTTCACTATATTTTGATGAGAATACTTTTCTACTTTCACTTGAGGAACATTTTGAATGCAGGACTTTTACTGTAAGAGAGTATTCCTACACTCTGGTACTTCTACTTTTACTCAAGTACAAGATCTGAGTACTTCTACTTTTACTCAAGTACAAGACCTGAATACTTCTACTTTTACTCAAGGACAAGACCTGAGTACTTCTACTTTTACTCAAGTGCAATATCTGAGTACTTCTACTTTAACTCAATTACAAGATCTGAGTACTTCTACTTTTACTCAATTACAAGATCTGAGTACTTCTACTTTTACTCAAGAACAAGATCTGAGTACTTCTACTTTTACTCAAGTACAAGATCTGAGTACTTCTACTTTTACTCAAGTACAAGATCTGAGTACTTCTACTTTTACTCAAGAACAAGATCTGAGTACTTCTACTTTTACTCAATTACAAGATCTGAGTACTTCTACTTTTACTCAAGAACAAGATCTGAGTACTTCTACTTTTACTCAAGTACAAGATCTGAGTACTTCTACTTTAACTCAATTACAAGATCTGAGTACTTCTACTTTTACTCAAGAACAAGATCTGAGTACTTCTACTCAAGTACAAGATCTGAGTACTTCTACTTTTACTCAAGTACAAGATCTGAGTACTTCTACTTTAACTCAATTACAAGATCTGAGTACTTCTACTTTTACTCAAGAACAAGATCTGAGTACTTCTACTTTTACTCAAGTACAACATCTGAGTACTTCTACTTTAACTCAATTACAAGATCTGAGTACTTCTACTTTTACTCAAGAACAAGATCTGGTACTTCTACTTTTACTCAAGTACAAGATCTGAGTACTTCTACTTTTACTCAAGTACAAGATCTGAGTACTTCTACTTTTACTCAATTACAAGATCTGAGTACTTCTACTTTTACTCAAGAACAAGATCTGGTACTTCTACTTTTACTCAAGTACAAGATCTGAGTACTTCTACTTTTACTCAGGTACAAGATCTGAGTACTTCTACTTTTACTCAGGTACAAGATCTGAGTACTTCTACTTTTACTCAGGTACAAGATCTGAGTACTTCTACTTTTACTCAGGTACAAGATCTGAGTACTTCTACTTTAACTCAAGTACAAGATCTGAGTACTTTTTCCCTCTATGCTTTTATTGTCTGTTGTGAATCACTTCGTATTGCCTTGTTGATATGTTTCATCGCTAAACTCACCTTGTCTCTAATACTGTCTCCTCCCTCCTCTCCAGCTTCACCTGGCTCTCGGCTCAGGTGCACAGCAACATGGTGATGCATTTCTCCGGCCGGATCACGGACAGCTTCGACCGGGAGTTTCGCTGCCTGTACGCCGACTCGCAGATCATCGACTGCTTCTTCAACGCGGAGGAGGAGGGGGGGCTTCCCTACTACCCCTCCTACCAGGCCATGATGACCCCCGGTGGCCTGGTCCCGGGGCTGGACCTCCTCTCAGACAGGTAATAATGATGATGATAATAATAATAATAATAATACAAGTTAATTAAGGCGTCTTTCATGACACCCAAGGACACCGTACAATTTGTTAAATATTCTGTTAGGAAAACTCTCCCTGGTCCCCGGCTGGAGCTTGAACCTCAGGATCCATGTGTCTGTGATCCTCTCCAGAATGGAAGGAGTCATCACATACAGAGACTAGTTCCTGAACAGTGTCCTTCACATGCTGATATCCAAGAGAGGGAGTTACACAGTCACAAGATGGAGGAATAGAAAGCAGTATTCAATGTTTACTTCAGATTAGCTCCACGTCAGAAATGAGCATGCTTGATGTCTCTCTCCATAGAGGCTGAATCATCATGTTAATCACATAGCTATCATCTGCCTCAAACAGTCCTGATGCTCTTCTAGGTCATCACACATCCTGTCATGTTCACAGCTACAGTTGGGATACCTTTGTTATCATGTTACTCTCATGTTGGAAGAGGACATTCAGGATTTCCCAACATATTCTAAGAGGTAAAACCAACAGAACATGATACAAACACAAACATACCATCATGGAGAAGACAATTAAAGTGGACACACATGATAGGGACAGGTCATTCAGGGTAGACAGATGATAGGGAGTACTACAGTGAGTAGGCTGATCTGAACAGGTGTTTGTGTCTGTTGGATGTGAAGGAAGAGAGAGTTCCAGAGTTTGATAGGTACCAAGCTTTGTTATTTAAATGTTTATCCAAGGATGACCTGATTAATAAATGTACTTAGTTACTCTACACCACTGATGCTAACTATTGTGGACATCCTGAATGTCCTCTTCCAACATGAGAGTAACGTGATAACAAAGGTATCCCAACTGTAGCTGTGAACATGACAGGATGTGTGATTACCTAGAAGAGCATCAGGACTGTTTGAGGCAGATGATAGCTCTGTGATTAACATGATGATTCAGCCTCTATGGAGAGAGACATCAAGCATGCTCATTTCTGACGTGGAGCTAATCTGAAGTAAACATTGAATACTGCTTTCTGTTCCTCCATCTTGTGACTGTGTAACTCCCTCTCTTGGATATCAGCATGTGAAGGACACTGTTCAGGAACTAGTTGATGCTCTGTATGTGATGACTCCTTCCATTCTGGAGAGGATCACAGATACATGGATCCTGAGGTTCAAGCTCAAGCCGGGGACCAGTGAGAGTTTTCTAACACTAACCCTCCCTTCCCTCTCGTCCTGCAGCAGACAGCGGGACAAGGTTTGCTCTGAGAACTCCAGCAGCCAATCCAGTAACAGCGTGTCAAGTGTGAAGGCTGCGCCCGGCATGACCTCCAACACAGTCTACAAGGTCACCCAAAACCACGACAAGAAGGAGTCCAACAGCAACCCCCTCCTGAGCCCAGAGCGGAGAGGCCAGACCCCGACACCCCCGGGAACACGAGGTTTATCCAACGGGGGAAGCCATCAAGATCGACCCCCGCCGGCGTACGGTCAGCAGATGGGCATCGAGTGGAACAAACCCAACGCGGCGGACGTCATGCGGTCCAACATCGGCGGGGCTTCGTCCAAATTCCAGGCGTTGGGGTTGTACGATCAGAAACCGAATATGTTCCAAAGCCCAACCACAAACTTTCGGACGCATACGCTCTCCCCCATCACTGACATTAAACTCGCCCCCAAGCAAAGGACTCCCCCAAACCAGTTCTTCAACAAGCTATCGGACATGTTCCTGCCAAACTCCAAGGAGACCTACAACACTCGGGGGTCTCCGTCGCCTCTGGAGATTCCTCCCTGGGGGGGGCCGGACCTCACGATGAACGAGCCGGAGAGCGAGCAGAGCCCACCCCCCCCTCCCACCGTGCTGATGAGCCGGCATGACCAGAAGCGATTGACGCTGGGACACAGCAAGCTGGACCTGGTGAACCAGTACAACAAGATGAAATCCAGACAGGTGTACAGTCGCTTTGAGCTCAAGACATCCAATTAAACCGGGAACAAATGTAGTTGTTTTTTTCAAACCCTTTCCATTCCTCCGGCGTCTCTTCGTCTACCAATCAGAAGGTCGGTACTTCGCCCTTTGTTGTGTTTTAGAGCAAGATATTGACATCCCCAAATGCTCCTGATTGTGAGCAGTGTGTTTGAATCTTCCTGATCACCTTGCAATGAATGAATGTGTGTCAATGGGTGATTGATGACTTGTATATGTAAAGAGCGCTTTGAGGTGCCTTTCTCTCTAATTTTCCACACAGTTGTACACTTATAAACAATCCAGGTGATGCAATAAAATTCCATTTTCACCGTTTGTATTATGAAGTCTTTTAGGTAAACTTTTCTATAGCTGTGAAGATCAGTTTTTATGTGTGTAGCATCACTAAGTGCACATTTTCAGTGCCCTCCCACACATTCACAGAAAACTAGAATTCACTAGGGCACTCTCACATCAGAAAATAATATAACTATTAACGATTTTGACCTCAAACGTTCGAAGTCTAGGAGTTTGACGACCAACTCATTTTTACTTTCAGTAAGACTTTAAATTCCATTTCAGCTTTCATTGTCAGTTACTTTGGTATGATATTTATCCTTAAAAAACTAAGAAGTTAAAGCTCACCTATTATGCAAAATCCACTTCTTCATGTTTCTTCTACATCAACATGTGTCCCCTCTTCTTCATGTCTCTTCTACATCAACATGTGTCCCCTCTTCTCCATGTCTCTTCTACATCAACATGTGTCCCCTCTTCCTCATGTCTCTTCTACATCAACATGTGTCCCCTCTTCTTCATGTCTCTTCTACATCAACATGTGTCCCCTCTTCTTCATGTCTCTTCTACATCAACATGTGTCCCCTCTTCCTCATGTCTCTTCTACATCAACATGTGTCCCCTCTTCTTCATGTATCTTCTACATCAACATGTCTCTTCTACATCAACATGTGTCCCCTCTTCTTCATGTCTCTTCTACATCAACATGTGTCCCCTCTTCTTCATGTCTCTTCTACATCAACACGTGTCCCCTCTCCTTCATGTCTCTTCTACATCAACATGTGTCCCCTCTTCTTCGTGTCTCTTCTACATCAACATGTGTCCCCTCTTCTCCATGTCTCTTCTACATCAACATGTGTCCCCTCTTCTTCATGTCTCTTCTACATCAACATGTGTCCCCTCTTCTTCATGTCTCTTCTACATCAACATGTGTCCTCTCTTCTCCATGTCTCTTCTACATCAACATGTGTCCCCTCTTCTTCATATCTCTTCTACATCAACATGTGTCCCCTCTTCTTCATGTCTCTTCTACATCAACATGTGTCCCCTCTTCTTCATGTCTCTTCTACATCAACATGTGTCCCCTCTTCTTCATGTCTCTTCTACATCAACATGTGTCCCTTCTTCTCCATGTCTCTTCTACATCAACATGTGTCCTCTCTTCTTCATGTCTCTTCTACATCAACATGTGTCCCCTCTTCTTCATGTCTCTTCTACATCAACATGTGTCCCCTCTTCTTCATGTCTCTTCTACATCAACATGTGTCCCCTCTGTGGAAAGAGACTCAGGAAAGACTCAAAGAAAGTTTCAGAAAAAAGATTTTCTCACTTTTTGTCCTGAGCCATTTTCGTCTGACGAGTCATAACGATTTTTTGGCTTGTGTAACCATTAGCCAATCAGCAACCAAGGTAACAGGCCCTCGGATCATTCTAAAGTATAATGGAATATGGCCCACGCAGGAAGCTTGTGTATCAATTATCAAGCGTCATTTACCTACATTTGATTGATTTTTTCTAACTTAACTTATGAGGCAATATACCTCATGTGCGGTGAGGGGCCCTTCGTTTATTTTTCTGTATGTTTAGACACCTCTGGTTTAGATCATTCCTACAACACTCCGGTTTTAAAGTGTATTACTTGTGCCTTAATCATCATGCCTTAAGGTTTACAATCACATGACATAATAGTCATAATAATAATAATATGTCCACGTGTTACTAAAGGAACACACAATCCTATTTGAAACAATAGGAAATAAAACAATATTATTTTGTAATTTCTCTGAATTCTGGGACATTAGTTTGGTCATATCTTGATGAAATGTATTGCATTTAAATGTCTGTTATGTTCTTTAAATGTGTTTCCCCATGTGTGCATTTTTAGTTTACAACACACAGCAGATGTAGATTTGTAAATACTTAGATACGGTTTAAACTAATTGTATTATTTACGTTCTCTTCTAGTTTTTTTGTGATTAATTGTGCTGGTGAGGTAGTTTTTTTATCACAACACAACAGGGTTACATATTCCTCCTCAGCGTGGAGCAGCAGCCAATGAGAACTGATTTTTACTGGTGTCTCCTGAGCAATAACGATTGATAGCGATCTATAATTGTAATATATGTGTTTACATTGTCTTTACTCCAATCAGCCGTCAATCTGCAGGCATCTTTGTCTTTTTGTTACGGCTAATGTATATAACGTTGTATATAATACACTTACAGACTATCAGGAATTTGGGTTACCGTTATAGAAACACTTCTTAATAAACTTCTTGTTTACGGTATTTATTTTTCACTGTGTCGTATACTTGAGAATGTGAACTTTTTGTGTTTAAAAGTTGTTCTTAATTTGTAAGATGAACAATTGTGGATTTAATAATAAAAAATAAGAGCTGTTTTGGTGGATGTTTTTTTAACTGGAAACAAAAGTAACAGGGTTAGTAAAGGTTGAAAATGTATGTCTATTCACCTTGTGTAGCCCCGCCCGTTTTCTCACTTCTGGTTAGTCCGATATGTCAGAGTTAGTCTGTCTCATAACTGTTAAGGCCCGGACACACCAGGCCGATATCGGCTGTTCTCGTAAGTCGGAGACGAAGCGTGTCCTGTCGCCCAAACTCAATTTGGTGTGTCCCGCACGGTCGACCGTGACACGCCTTATTTGGACTGCCAGACCCGATGCATGGCCGATTCAACATGTTGAATCGGCCATGCATCGGGTCTGGCAGTCGGACCAAACAATCACTCTGATTGGCTGTTCAGCTAGCGAATCAGTGCATGAGAAGCGAAACGGAAGTGAGGGACGTAAACAAACGATTTAAGAAGGCACATACAAACTGATATTCATTTTCATCTCATCATGGCGATCTGGAATGACGCAAACGAAGACCTGCTGATCACCTTGATCCAGGAGAGGCCAGCTCTGTACGACATCACAGAGAAAAGGTACTCGAACCGAGTAGTGAAAACCGGACTCTGGCGAGAGATTGAAACGCAACTTGGTTTCTCGGGTAAGATTATCTTTTTCATCAATTGAGCTCTTTAGCAGATGTTGTTGGCTTTTTATTGTTTGCCAGCGTATAGTGACGTTAACGTGAAATGTAATTTGTTATTTCAACCTTGTGTTTTGTTGTTATCTTGTTGCTAGCTGTGCAGTTTGGCACTGCATATCGATATGAATTGGACATGCTAACTAGCCACAATGCTTACATCGTTTATTTGTGTGCTTCAGAGAAAGAGCTGAGGAAGAAGTGGATTCTCTGCGAACCCAGTGCACCCGGTACAGGAGACTTGCCCCTTCGGGTAGCTGTGGACCAAAGACGGGCAGACAGCAGTGGATCATAACCAGGCTGCAGTTTGCACACGCTATTTGTTGTTGTTTATATCACGCAGTCTGTTCTTCTTCTCTGTCTTCCGGTTGTTGCCTATTTTTAATGACGAATACACACTACTGCTGGTAAGGAGAGTTATTGCCACTCACGCACTGAAGTCTTTGCTGTGTGTTCCCGTGCGACACATGGCCAAGACGCAGGAGAACACCGTGACGCAACAGCCGACGTCGGCGAGTCCTCTGGTGACTGCTTGGTGTGTCAGGGCCTTTAGTCAGTATATCTGAAATCACTAGGTTAGCTACGTTAGCTAGCTAGCTTACAGCAGATCTACAGTAACATCAGGAGTCATGTGACCACATTGTTAAAATAACACCATCAAACATTTTAGGTAAGTTTCCAACAACAGAGACAGTTGGTCAGCTTTATAATCCTGAACGTCACCAAGCGCTCCGTCCCAGCTGTGTGCGTCACTCTTTAGTGTCCCCTGGTCTCCCAGCTGTGTGCGTCACTCTTTAGTGTCCCCTGGTCTCCCAGCTGTGTGCGTCACTCTTTAGTGTCCCCTGGTCTCCCAGCTGTGTGCGTCACTCTTTAGTGTCCCCTGGTCTCCCAGCTGTGTGCGTCACTCTTTAGTATCCCCTGGTCTCCCAGCTGTGTGCGTCACTCTTTAGTGTCCCCTGGTATCCCAGCTGTGTGCGTCACTCTTTAGTGTCCCCTGGTATCCCAGCTGTGTGCGTCACTCTTTAGTGTCCCCCTGGTCTCCCAGCTGTGTGCGTCACTCTTTAGTGTCCCCTGGTATCCCAGCTGTGTGCGTCACTCTTTAGTGTCCCCTGGTCTCCCAGCTGTGTGCGTCACTCTTTAGTATCCCCTGGTCTCCCAGCTGTGTGCGTCACTCTTTAGTGTCCCCTGGTCTCCAGCTGTGTGCGTCACTCTTTAGTGTCCCCTGGTCTCCCAGCTGTGTGCGTCACTCTTTAGTGTCCCCTGGTCTCCAGCTGTGTGCGTCACTCTTTAGTGTCCCCTGGTCTCCCAGCTGTGTGCGTCACTCTTTAGTGTCCCCTGGTCTCCAGCTGTGTGCGTCACTCTTTAGTGTCCCCTGGTCTCCAGCTGTGTGTCACTCTTTAGTGTCCCCTGGTCTCCCAGCTGTGTGAGTCACTCTTTAGTGTCCCCTGGTCTCCAGCTGTGTGCGTCACTCTTTAGTGTCTCCTGATTTCCCAGCTGTGTGCGTCACTCTTTAGTGTCCCCTGGTCTCCAGCTGTGTGCGTCACTCTTTAGTGTCTCCTGATCTCCCAGCTGTGTGCGTCACTCTTTAGTGTCCCCTGGTATCCCAGCTGTGTGCGTCACTCTTTAGTGTCCCCTGGTCTCCCAGCTGTGTGCGTCACTCTTTAGTGTCCCCTGGTATCCCAGCTGTGTGCGTCACTCTTTAGTGTCCCCTGGTCTCCCAGCTGTGTGCGTCACTCTTTAGTATCCCCTGGTCTCCCAGCTGTGTGCGTCACTCTTTAGTGTCCCCTGGTCTCCAGCTGTGTGCGTCACTCTTTAGTGTCCCCTGGTCTCCCAGCTGTGTGCGTCACTCTTTAGTGTCCCCTGGTCTCCAGCTGTGTGCGTCACTCTTTAGTGTCCCCCTGGTCTCCCAGCTGTGTGCGTCACTCTTTAGTGTCCCCTGGTCTCCAGCTGTGTGCGTCACTCTTTAGTGTCCCCTGGTCTCCAGCTGTGT